ACTGTGGGAGGGCAGGGGGTCAATAGGGCCTGTCACCCTCCTGGCCCCCTGTCACCCTCCCTGGACCTGGGATCCCTGTGGGGTGGCCAAGCCCCTTCCCCAGCGAGGTGTGGTGTAGGGATGCTCTGAGTCCACAGGGAACAGCACAGCCCTGGCTCCTGCTGTGCCCCAGGACCACCCTCCCTGGGGATTCGAGGCACAGAAATCCACCCCACTCCCAACATTCCAGCCAGGTGAAGAGGGAAAAACTTACAGTTGCTTGACCCGCTGCCCATGGGTGAGGCCGGAGCCCTCCACCACGAACACACAGTTGCTCAGAGGCACTTCAAGGGGGTTCACCATGCTGATCTCTGCCACCAGCTTCCGATTCTGCATCGGCTCTCCTAAAATCTGCAAGTAGGAGAAGTTGGACCCCCAGCACCCACCATTCCTGGGGGCCGTGGTGCTCCCCCTGCCCTGGGCCTGGTGGGATGGATGCAGGTCCAAGGAGATGCAGCCCTGCCCCCCAAAACCAGCCTGGGATGGGAGACTGGACCCTCACCCTGATCTTGATTGGCGGATTCTCAACATAGACATCCCTGACAGCCACCATGACGTCGCCGGTCTGGTGATCAGTCAAGAGAGCCACCACCTTGATGAGGTTGTCCTGGGTCAGGCTGTCCTTGTACTCCTCGTACAGGATGCGCATGGGCACCCTCTTCTCTGCAAGGGGAAGCAGAGCAGGGTCAGCACCCACAGCACCCCCAGCCCGGTGCTGGCAGGCACCTTCTCCTGGGATGGTTTGGACTCCCCAAGGAGCTTCTCGAGGCTCCTTGCAAGGATGGCGGAGCTGGGGTCCCTGCAGGATTGGGACTCCAAACCCAGGTGCCAGAAGGGATGTTGAGGGTGTGAGGAGGAGAAGGAGCCATGTCCTAGGGCAAGACCCCAGGATTGTGCCTGCACCAGGATCCCAGAGGGACTTTGCAAGCCCTTGGCAGCCAATGTGGGCAGCAGGAGACAGCCTGGCTCCCTGGCAGCTGCCTTCACTCAGCCCTTAGCTGTTGTTTATCCCAAAGTCCTTGGGGGACGGAGCTGTCTGGAGCTGAGGGGGAAGGAGGCTGAAGGGAATCAGCTGCAGAGGTGCCTTGGCAAGGACCCCTGAGCAACTGTGACCATGGAAAATAGAACCTGCCATTCCTGGGGCAGGGCACAAACTGCCATAGCATCAAATGAGGCCATGGAGAGAGGAACAAGCCTGGCTCCCTGCATCAGCGCAGAGCACTGGGGTGCCCTAATGGATACGGTCTGGGGAATCCTGAGGTCTGTATTCTGAGGCAGCAGCTGGGGGCAGAAGCTTCAGGAGGTCGTAATTAAAGCTTCAGAGAAAATTACATCCTTTTGGACAGGAACGTTAAGGACCCCAAAGGCCAGCAGTGCTCCTCTAGGGCAGGGTGGGCACACGTGGCCCCCCCGTCCCCATCCAGCCCTGCAAAAGGCTCTGAGCAGGCGCTGGTACCTGCTGGTGCCTCTGCCAGTACGAGCAGGGGCACGTCCCACTCCCCTCCACAGTGTTGAGAGCCGAGAGCCAGCACATTCCTCATTCCTGTAGCACTGCTCAACACCTGGCAGAGCGCCGAGCTCTGCGTGTGCTACGGGCCGGTGAGGAGCAGGGCTTGGCACAGGGTAAACATCTGGCTGTTCCAGGACAGCAGATGTGTGGCCTTTCCAAGCCCCGAAGGGTCTCTGGCAAGTTCACATAAACCCAAACTCATGTTTAATGAGCAGATGATGATGTTCATGTGTGACAAGGGCGAGGGAAGTTCGGGGGGCCATGCCAGGACAGCTCCGTGGCTGAGTGCCGGGGGACATCGCGCCCACCCAGCGAGACACCGAGAGCTTCAGTGCTGCTGGCCAGTAAACCCAGTGCCTCCCACTTCCTCCAACCTGGGACTGTGTGCTTGGGGCTGACCCCGGCCAGTCCCACTCTCCCTGCAGTGGGAGCCCAGCCTAGCCTTGAGGTGTGTGGGGAAGCAGGAGGGATGCAGACGAGTGCCATGGAGGGCCCTGGGGGTGCGCCCAGCTCGCTCCCTCAGCATGACAGAGCAGTGCCTTGTCCAGTTCCAAATGCATTTTCAGCCTCTGCCTGAGCAATTTCCTCATCCTCTCATAAAGATTAAAAATCCACAGATAGCTAAGGAGGATGTCCCCGAGGGGCACTGCCCACTGAGCAGCTGAACATGGGCATTCTGCTGACCCCACACGCAGCAGAGCAGCCCCCTCTCCACCAGTGGGTCCCTTACCTGACCGGGGCTCGAGGTCAATGTCGATCAAGTCCGTGAGGCCGCACTGGGGCCCGGTGGTGCCATTGTAGCTGGTGGTGCGGGCACACAGCCTGACACTGCAGACACGTTCCACATCCGTGTTGTTGTTGATGACGGCAAAGACATCGAAGTCACAGCCCTTGTTTGCACCCTCTGACACCTTGATCTTGAGGTGCAGCGCCTCATCCTCCTCCGGGACGGACTTCTTCTCATGCTCTGCCTTCGCAAACACCCTCCGCTCCTCCTCAGACCCTGCAGTGTACGAAATTCCTGTGATTCCCGGGGATATGGGGAGGGAATGGTCCGGGCTGTTCTGCCCTGAACCCCGGAGCCCTCCTGCTGCAGTTGTTTCCCAACAGCCACATCCCCCTCCGGGTGTCTCTGCCCCTGCAGCTCCCCGTACCCTCCGGATATTTGTAGTTGTGGGTGATGTCCTCCCGGCTGTCCTTTCCCACGCTCTTGGTGCTGATGTTCTTCCCCACCACTGAGGACTGGATGCTCTGCTTCTCCATCCCATCGCCCTGCACCACCCAGTACACCACGTCGGCGTTCACCTCCGCGAAGATGAAGGGGATGTCGTACTTCAGCTGCATGTCGCCCTCTTTGATGGCTTTGACGGGGGCAGGCCCGCAGCAGAAAACTCCTGCAGGGAGCAGAGCCACTGTCACCACCCCCAGGGTTCAGCCACTGCAGGGGTAAGAGGTGGCCGTGGTGGGGTGACCCTGCCGTGTCACAGCACGAGGTGGATGCAGTGTGGTGCACGTTGTACCTTCGCTCTTCTCCTGGGGCGTCGGATCCAGCACCTGCCACCCGTCGTAGTCACCTGCCAGGTCTGGACGGGCCATCCAGGACTCCACCCAGCAGTGGAAGTTCCTGCAAGGGAAGCCAGGATGCAGAAGCCTCAGCCTCCTCCAGCACCCACCAGGCTCCGGGCCAGGGGCAGAGGCAGCCCTGGGGATGGGCAGGCTGTGGTCCCGCCGTGCTGCTCACCAGATCTTGTCCCAGGACTGCCGCTCCTGCCCCCCCTTCTCGTTGAGGTAGCGGTCGATGGTCAGGTTGGCATTTGTGTCGTGGGCTGAGTTGTAGTTGGTCACCACCCGGGTGGGGATTCCCAGGCACCGCATGACTGTGGGGAGTAGGGCAGGGTGAGACAGGGGCCCGGATTTGCACCACTCCCATCCCACAGAGCCTCAGGTTTGCACAGTCCCTGTCCTGTGGATCCCCAGTCCTGCATGACTCCTGCCCTTCCCGTTCCCTGGCAAAGGGGTGCCCAGGGACTGATGCCCTGGGAGGAGCTGGTTCCCACACCTGCTGTGCACAGGCGAGCTGGGTGGCACACGGCTCTGACAGTCTGACAGGTTTGATATTGCAGCAGAAAAAAGGCACAAAAGCGTCTGCGAGAGCTTTGGAGGGAGAGTGTGGGCAGCCGTGCTGAACCCCGGATTTCATCTCCCAGCTGTCTTTCACTGCTCACGGAGCTCCCTGGGGAGCAGGGAGGCAGTTACAGCGCTTCAAAAGAAGGCTATAAAACTCTGCGAGTCACTGAATATCTACTTTAGTTTTCTCCTATTTCTCTCCTCTAAAAAGGGTCTTGTCTGTCTGTGAAACATCAATGCATGCACAGAGGCAGCACTTTTTCTTGAGGCAAAGCTGCACGAGCATGTGTGAGTGTTTCCCAGCAGCAGCCAGCCTGGAATTTTTCTCCTCTTTTTCCCCAGCCTGACTGCCCCGGTGGCCGTGACATTAATTTGATCTCGGTGGATTCGTGACTTTATTACAAACTTGGCCTTAAGGCCACTTCCCTCCCCCTATCCTGCCCTGGCCCCTCCCTTGCTGCCTGGCCAGGCAGGCAGCGCTGATGGAAAAACCAGAGCCCTTTCCTATAATTTTTTCCCTCTATTTGCCGACAAATTAGAATAACAGAGAGCTAATTGCAAAGGAATCATTGCAGGCTGATTGCAGCCAGCCCCAGCTCTTCCCTCTGGCCACAGCACCAGGACTGGGTGGAGGGCAGGGGGCCGGGCTGGGACATGGCGAGGACACAGGTGACCCCATCCTGTGGGGAAGGGGAGGCCAGAGACATCTGCTCTCACCAGTACATTGCACAGCAGCAAAGACCCAGCACTGGCCGTACTTGACTGGCTGGCACCCAAAATCCTTCCACCTCTTGAGAATATCCACACTCCCAATCCAAGACATGGGGTTTGTCCCATCGTCGTAGGGGTCGTGCCACCGCCCTGCCAGCACCCCCCGGTCCTCGTCATTACAGTTTACCTGTGGCAGGAGAAGAGAGGATGGATGGATGGATGGATGGATAGACGGATGGACAGGCATGAGCAGGCTGGGGAGGGAGGGGAAGAGCTTTTTCCCCATTCACATGTGCTGTCGCCCACATTAGCATCCTGCATCCATGCAAGAGCTCACTGGGATGCAGTGCTAATCAGGGATGAATTTTAGAAACAAGTCCTCCAGCCTGGGAATTTGAGTGTGATTATCCCAAAGCTGCTCATGGGATGGTCTGTGACTACCCCTGCCATTCCTCTCCTCTTAAAAGGCTCTTATACATATAGGAGCAATAACAGGAAAGGATGTAAAGGGCAGAAGAAACACCACAGAGAAGGAAAATGGCCTAAGGGGGGGGGGTGGCAAATGCCACCTCTCTGTCACAGCTGTAGCTGGGAGGTGTTTACACCCCAGGGAACGTGGGGTGCTGGGGACACCCTGCCAGGGGCACCCCAGACTCACCATGGCGCTCACCACCCTGCCGATGTACACGGGGTCATTGCGGCGGGAGCAATCCCGGTTCTGGTCCCTCAGGTGTTTGGGGTTTATGTCCAGCATGTTGAGGCAGATGGATAAAATGTCATCCTCGAACTGGTGGAGAGCAGGGAGAAAAGGCATGTGAGGTCCCCACAGGGGCTCTGGCACCTCTCTCCTCCGTCCCTGGCTCATGAGGATGCCCCTGCAAGCAGAACTGCTGGGGCCAGGGAGTCACACCTTCCCAGGGTCCCCTCCCCGGCCATCACCCACTGAGTGACGTCCCCACTCAGCCTGCAAAGCCCACAGATGAGCTCCCGCCCTTGCTCTGGGGCTGGATCTGGCTTCCTGCAGCCACTCGGGGGTCATGCATGGAGCTGACCTCTGTGAAAAACCACGTATTTCCCATCACAGCTGAGTCACAGCCCTTCCTTGAATTGAGCCATGGATCCTGTGGGGGCCCCAGGATCCATGTCCTCACTCAGGGAGGGTGGCCGAGCCCCCCCAGTGCAGGCACTGCCTTATCAGCACCCCCAGCACGGCACCGGGGAGCACGTTATCAGGCAACAGCTCCTTGGCACAGCAGGGCCACCCTGACTAGGGGCACGTGGCTGTGGGGCCCCCAGGAGCCATGTGGAAAACCTCCCCTCGCCCTGCCATGCTTTGAAGTCAGCACATTCCCTCTCGGAAAGGAGATTCCAGTTTCTTTGACCCACATCTGCACCCTGAGGTGCTGACGGCATTTGGGGGGCATGTTTGGGGGGGCACACACATGACACCAGTCCCTGTGCCCTGCAGCTCCGGGGCTGCACAGGCTGGGGTCAGCTGGGAGTCCTGAGGGTCCCAGGGGGCCATGCCCACTCACCTGGCCAAAGTTCCAGGGGACGGAGAAGATGTAGTCGCAGGTGCCCTGGTAGATGAGCCCCTGCTGGGACAGCACATACTCGCGGCGCTCGTTCTCGTCACGGAGGAAAACTGTGTCCTCTGTGGGGACAGCAAGTGATGGGGACAGGGCTCTGCCCCGTGCCACCAGCCCCCTGACCCCCTCAGGGCTACCCCTCCCTGGAGATGCATCCGGTGGGAAATGAGGCAACAGGGGCTGGAACTGCTCCTGCCTGAAAAAACTGCTGAAGAATTTCAGCCTAGTTTGATTTGAGCTGATGGGAAACTTTCAGCGGGTTTGCGGTTTTCTCTTCATTCTTTCTCATTTCTCTGTCTTTCCTTCCTTTTATTTGATGGAGTTGGGTCTTCTCCCAGAAGGGGAGACCTCTCTCCCTCCCCTGAGGGAGCAGTGAGCAGTGGGAGCGGGTGAGCCGAAGCCATTTCACTCACAGTAGCTACTGCTGTGAAAATCAGTATTTACTGGAAATGTTTGCAGAAGGAAACCCCAGACGTCCATCCCCAGTGCTCGGCACAGCCCAGGTTGAGCAGAGCTTCCTACAGCTCCTTATCTCTGTGGACCCAGTATGGAGCATTTGAGATCCAGGAAACCACTCGGTCCAGGGGCAGGGGAGGGACGTGACAAGAGGAAAATCCCAGGGCTGTTAAACCTTGCAGCACTGAGTTGAGCCTCCCCTCTGGGTTCAGCTGCCCAAATTTTACCAACAGAGTGATGTCCCTGTCACTGGAGACCACAGCTGGGTGCCTGGGTGGGAATGGGCCAGATGGGGGCAATTAGGGACAAATGGGGGCAAGTAGAGACAACTAGGGGTAATTGTGTGTCCTAGGGTGGGAGACAACTTACTGCAGGGATTGAATGGAAATGGAAGTAAAGCGGGAATTTCAGGCTAGACCTGAGCTCAGGGCAGGGCTTGGGGCACCTGGAGTCTGCAGTGGGGTGAGATCTGTGGTGACATGCAGCCCCTCAGTGCTGGGGAGCAGCTTGTGCTTGCCTGAACCCAGGAACCCCTGGGCTCAGGAAGGTAAAGCCTCACCTGGGTGCCAGGCGTTGAAGAGCAGGATGAAGTGGCCGATGTGGAAGCTGGAGCCCTGGTACCCGGTGCAGGTCTCCAGTGTCAGGGTGTAGCGGCCGATGCGGGCGCTGGGAGGGGAGCAGAGCGAGACAGAAAGGGACTCCCCGTCCTGCTGCTGCATCACAGCACTCCAGGATGACTCCTC